ACATGATAAAATGGACTGGGGTTTAAAAGGACCCTCGGTTCTTGCCACTGACTTTGCATTACGTCAGTATTCTGGTAAATGCCCAATCATGTACAGTCACATACTTTTCCAGAGACCCAGAAACCAACACTATCCTTATTCCAAAATACTGTCCCTCTCCCAGGTTTTCTTGTGTGAAGTTAGTGTAAGCATAATATCACATGTAACAGAAAGGTGATAGAATTAATATTGATATGGGATCTGTCCAGAAGACTGAAGCTTAAAATAAAAATGGCTAGACTGAATTTTAATTCAGCCTTACTGATTTTTTGGCCATTGGGGGCAGCAAGAAACAAGCTGTTAACAACAATGACAGATTATCATTGGCGAACATGTTAGCCATAAATGCTACCTTTATTTATCCCAAGCAGATATCAGAGCAACATAAGCATTCATTTAGCGTATGTTAGTGTCCACCTGCTCTGTCTTGCTCTCCAACAACTTAATATATAAAGCTCTTTTTAAGCTACTCAATGTTTCACCAAGCTAAGTCGCTATTTTGGTCAGGCAGCTTATAGTCAAATATTTGGTGGGTTTGTTTGTTTTTGTTTTTGCTTGCTGCTGCAGAAACAAGGGCCAGGCCTTTTGAGGGCCAGGCCATCAATCGGAAACAAATAGTCCTTTTTTTAAAGAAAACATTTTGTGACAGAAAAAGTATTTAAAAAAAAAGTTATTGATTGAAATTGGCTAAATTCCATTAACTGCTTTGGGTTTTCATGGTCCTGCTGACCAAAGAAAGTAAACTCCTCCCAAAAGTCATGTACCAGTTCGCACACCTGACACCCCAATGACATTCAAAGTAGTCATATGATTTTATTATTAATAAGAAGTACCCTCTATAGCACTCACTCTTCTCTTTTCAGTTTAAATAGTATGAGTACAACTATTACAAACAAATATTCAAGCTGATTCCTACTTGGTGAACCGGGGACCCTCTGAGTTTTTGGGGCCAGTTGCAAATTTTGGCCCAGGTAATTATTGAATAATTGACTATGACATGTCGCATGTTCAAGACCCTAACAGAAACCTCAACAGAACAATACAGACTGAAACACGTTTCATCCATTACCATCTATAGTCTGTCAATGCGAACAATATTGGTTTTTAGAACCGAATGACAACAAAAGTGAACAATGCTGCATTAAGTGCACATAATTATCATCTTGTTAAACTTGAGTTACTCAGAGAAGAACAAACTCTTTTTCTTTGGTTTGTAACTGGCCCATGCTGCTGCTCGTGTTTTCACTTGTCAAACACCGTGCCAAGTCCCCAACTTGGGAATGCCCCAAGTTAGCCATGTTACCTTGGTATTGGTGCAAGATGTAACAAGAGAAAATGCTCCATTCAATCAAGTTTGCAGGCAGAAAGAGAAAAGTTGGGGGTTCAGAGGCAGATAAATAAACTAGTGGGAGCTCTGCCAACACCAACTTTTCCTAGGTGAGATGATGGGAAACTTCGTCGTACTCCTCTGGGGCCATCATTTGTGAACCACACCGGCGTCCTCCAGAGCCCAAAGTTTTAAAGAGCGAACCCAGGCACTTGGGTCGGGTTGTTTTGAGCATTTTCTAAGTGAATTCCTTTGCCTCTTGTTGCCTGCTCCATAAAAGATAAAGTCTGCCTGCCGAGGCTTAAGTGTGTCAATGAACGGGGGGGGGGGGGATCAATGATAAGTGCAGCTTACCTCCTCAACTGCTCCGCACCAGCCAAATAGAGATTAAACCATTTCAACCTAATAGCACATGTCAGTCAAAAGTCACACTTGAATACTTGAGCCCCTTCTCCCCCAGCCTTTGCCACCTCCCCCATTTTCTAATCACACTGGCTGGAAAGATGCTGCAATTTACAAAAAAAGTTAAATGTCAATCAGAGTTAAATGACAAAATTTTAACCATGAAGACCCCTTTGTACCACATCAGAGCCTGAACCGAGATCTGTAATTGTGTCAGCCATTTCTCTGAATCCTCAGCTCACTTTGAAGGTTGCTGTTTGTTAGGCATTCAAAAAACACACCCACACTCAATTCAAACATGCATGCACACACGTAGATCAAAAGCCTCATGGTCTATTATTGCATAAAATACAGCTGTCTTTCTAAGCACCAAGGTTTTGTAAACTGTACTCATTTCTTGCTCTAATCACTGTTGTGGATATTGCGAAATTGCCCACTGTTCCAGGGAATTACTTGACTGAACCCCACCACCGTGGCTTTGATTTGCTGTTCAACCATCTCAGATGTGAATACACCCTGTGGTCTGTAAATGAGAGCTTGTGCTGTTCCACTAGCATCCCTTATTTAGACATCATAGCACTCATTAGGTGGATCAAGCTGATATCAAAGTCAGAACACAGACGTCGATGTTTTGGAGAATGCTAGGACCGTCACAGTGTCTCCTTAATGATATGTCTGCCGTCTATTCAGCTCGATTGTTATTTCACTGTCATTTCTCCAGCAACTTGTCGGTTGAACTCTACTTGCTGTGTTATTTGCTCAGCTTTAACGCTTTTTATTACTGTCGTCTTTTATTTGATGTTCGGACAAAATGCAATTATAATCCATTATAATACTTTTTCTTTTTGCACTTTGGAAAAAGATGTATTATAATGTATTATAGTGTGTCATTTAAAGGAGAAAGCTGCACTCCCAGAATAGTTGTTCAAGGCATCAGCATGCACAGTGTGACTTATAACTCTTGTGCTGTTTGAATTCATCAACACTTCTATCCCAAAAAACTAACAAACAACAAAACACTTGAAGCAACACGCAGCTCACACCACTGTCAAAATAACATATATATTATAATAATAAAGCACCACTGACAATGCTTTTGGCCAATTTTAACTACATTATCAACAAACCCCACCTCTCTTAGTTACTGTTGCTACGCCAGTCAAGCTTTCCATTCTCACAGTTTATATTTATAAATGTTTATGTTTATAATTATAAATTAGTTCTTAGTGACAGTCAATTGAGTAATGGAAAAAAAGCATTTTGTGTTGTGTATTTCACAACATACTAGTGATGTAATTAAACTTTAATTGGGATCAAAACATATTAATAACTTCAGCTCCGTTTGTTAAAGGTCCAGTGTGTAGGACTTCTTTGTTACACTCTCCCTTTCCAACGCGAAGAAGAAACTACAGTGGCCGCAAAACTTGGTTTGTCCCTTCTGGGCTACTGTAGAAATATGCTGTTTCAACATAGCAGACTCCGTGGAAAGCGACCCGCGGCGTCTGTAGATAAAAACAGCTCATTCTTAGGTAATAGAAACATAATGGTTCCTACATTCATGTGATTATACACTAATAAAAACATACCTACGAATATTATATTCCATTTTCTGCCGATAGAGCCTCCTAAATGTTACACACTGGACCTTTTAAAATAGTTCCCATCCTGTGTTTTGGATTTTGGTGGTGGGCTTATAGTACCCTTTTGTTTACATGGAAATCACGGATTGTCCCTTTAAAACTCACAGGAGCTAACTGACTTATAAGATGGATATTTCCTGCAGTGCAGCAGTTTAGATGAGAAGCATAAACAAAGAGATGATGTGTCCCCCACAGAGACAGTTCCTCTGATAGGTGGTGATGTGATAGCTCATTCAAAGCGGCCTCTCTCTTATTGTCTTTTTGTTTTCTTTTGAAGGAAGATTAAAGAATCTTTTATGCCATTTGATATTTCAGTGGGATGGTAGTACTGTTGAGCAGCATTGTGCAGGGTTTGTGTGGTGAGTGTTGGGAATTCATTCAAATACAGCTTATCAAATCCATGAGGGACTGAGCCAGCAGACTGCATCCAGTGGTTTGTGGGTAATATTCAGGAACTTGCCCAAGCAGGCACTCAGCTTGTTCATTTATTTTTTTGCTTCATATCTCCTCCTTCATTTCAATGCACCACTAGTATGATCTTGTCACGGCCAGCATGTGGACTGTCATGTTTATGGTGATGTTCATGATAGGAATCTATTCTCTTCCAGGTGTATACCAGATATGGGAAATGCTACACTTTTAATGGTAACAAGACCACATCCAGGAAAACCAAGCAGGGCGGAATGGGAAATGGGCTGGAGATCATGTTGGATATCCAGCAGGATGAGTATCTGCCCATCTGGAGAGAGACAAGTAAGCCTCAAAACTATTTGTCCAATATAATCCCATCCTATGCTACAGAATGAGATACCTCTGCTGGGCTTTATATAAGAAATAACCTGCATCAATTTCTCAGGGTCGTGTACTGTAAATAATGCATGTTTTGATTGCATTCCAGCAACCTGGAAAATGTGATTTGTAAAGGGAAATTTCTGAACAAAATACACTACCTCAGATTTGTGCTTGCATTGTAGTTGTCACATAATATTAATCCCTACTGGTTTATTTTTCAAACATGACTGAAATATGGTTTGCAGTTAGCGTCAAACTGAGTCCAAGCTGTCAGCAGCCATCTGAAATTCCCTTGTTCTCTCCCTTCGCACAACACTCCATGCTTGTGCTCTGTTTCATCCTGAAGATGAGACGTCCCTGGAGGCCGGCATCCGAGTTCAGATCCACAGTCAGGATGAGCCTCCCTACATCCACCAGCTGGGCTTTGGTGTCTCTCCGGGCTTCCAGACCTTTGTTTCATGTCAAGAGCAGAGGGTAGGTCTTCTTCATCACAGCTACACCATCCCTGCCCCCCCCCCTATCACCACCACCACAGCCAGATTACTGTTCTCCCTGCAACCGTTCGCCCCTGCTGGTTCGGACTGGGGTCTAATAAATCTCTGTGTGCTTAGCTGACCTACCTGCCCCAGCCCTGGGGGAACTGCCGCTCCACCAGCAAAGAGAAGTTCCCAGGTTACGACACATACAGCATCAGTGCCTGTCGCTTGCTCTGCGAGACCAACGAGGTCCTGCGAGTGTGCAACTGCAGGATGGTGCACATGCCTGGTAAGATCACAACCCTACCTCACATTTACACAAGGCCAGCTGGTGTTACATACATTAGTAATTCATGCTGTCTGATTGAAGTCAAGTTACTGCAGGAAGAACAAAGAATGTGTGATTGGAAATTAAAAACACACAAACACAAATACATTTCAGGTTTTGTGGCAACTTTAAGGTCATGAAATCAGATATATGAAGTAACACAACTCACATTGGGATGTCAGTTGTATAAAATACTTAAACTGAGTTAGTATTTTCAAGTATTTCCCTTCCCTGTTTTTTAAAAAATTGTTTTGGTCTAACGTGATTGAAAAGGCAGCCAGCCCAGCATTGCATATTACTGTAGATGACCTATTGTTCAAAACAACTCATCATTTTTGGCCCACTTGAATAATTCCAGCACAGATATAATTTGGGCTGCCACACACCTGACCTTGATGCTTGATATCTGGAGTGGGGTGCTCTTCAGCAGTGCTTGCAGCTCTCTGGCCAGTGACTCTTCATACTACATGAAAGTCTCAATGAATTTTGGATCCACTCGTTCATATTTCAGCTGTTTGGGAATCGTTCTGCTGTGCTCCTGTGGCCCTCATTAAACATTTGGATTATTATTATTATTAATAATATTATTGGTTCAGGTTGTTCTTGTGTTTTGTTTCCACTGGTAGATGGTTTGCAGGCAGCTCTGCAGATTTCTGCCTTTATATAGAATTTATTTTGCATTTATTTACACTATGATAGGTTGCCTCAAATGTACACAAGTATTTCATGTGATGTTTCATGAATTACTTTCAAGTCTTTTCTTATATTTCTAAAAATAATTAGGACAATTTAAGATTGTACTGTACCAGTATACTGTGAGCAATCATTATGGTGTTTGATACTAAAAAGAAAAGTGTGTATTAACCAGTAAACATTAGCACACAAGATATTAGATTGCATGAATTCAAATCTCACTTAAGTTAAGGGAAATTAAATTAATCAAACAGTGACAAACAAATGATTTTAGAGATAAATATATAGTTGAATTAGACACAAATACAGCACAGAGAAGATGTGTGTGTGTCATGTAGTTCAACCATTTACGCAGTTTCTCTGTTCAGCTGAGGGACACGTTGTAGAGGTGAGTTGGACAAACTTGCTCGGATGTATTCAGCGTGTGCGTCATGATGGCCAGGGTGCACAAAGTCAAAGAGATGAGTCACTGACTGCAAACTGTGTTTGATGAGGTGTTCGCATTTAAAGTTAAGGCAGGAAACTCACCATGTATGCAGGAATCATTTTCATTTACATATTCATACAGTGCAGCTGACATTTGCAGCCTTATTTAGCGTGATTGAAAATATGAGGAAATCAATTGATGTGAATAAACAACACAGTATGAGACATTTGATTTGAGATAGATACAAATTTTAATACTAATTTAACACCATAGAGCTGTAAGTGAACTGACGCATTATGAAGTTTGACAAAGGAAGCCTCTTCTCCAGACATTTACGTACATATCAGTCACACATTCCTAACTTCCTTTTGCAGGCTTTAATGGCCAGACCAAAGGGAAGGGCGGATCTGTAAAGAGAAATCCCAACTAATCATTTGATCCCAACAGGCTGGGAAGCGGACACGTTTCTAATCAGATTGTGTGCGCCGCAGGGTGACAGTGCCTACCTCACCACAAGATCGTGATTGTGTTACAATAATCTTCGAGCTCATGATTTTGGGAAAGTTGACCATTTCAAACTTGTTACTGAACGAAGACATCTTACTGCTTTCACTTTACTTATCCCCAGAGAGGTGGCAAAAGTGCACACAGAATTATAGATACTTGTGTAAAAATAGACTCTGATTCAACTTCTTTACTCAAGTACAAGTGCAAAAGTACACGCTCTGGGATGTACTCAAAGTATAAAAGTAAAAGTTACTCTTTTGGTTTGTCTTGAGGACATTTCTACTGGCTGTTTCTGTGCAAAGCTAACTGAAACTTAAGATAGGGTCGATTGTCTGTTTCGTCTTGTTACATCTTTTTTGTATAATAACAATTGATAATTCCCATCACATGCATGGCCTGTTTTTAAAATGTAATGAGTGGAAAGTACAGATTTGTGTGTAAAAATGTAGTTTTGTACTTTGTTACTTTCCACCTAGCTTCCAAACCTAGATCCAAAAAACCTACCTTCTCACCAATCAGCTATCTGGAGAAACTGCCCCTCCTTAAATTGTCTTTATTGCAACTTTTCAAATGAATGAGACACATAAGAAAAAGATCATCAAGTAGGAAAAGTTGTGAGTTAACAGATAGTAGGGGTACCAGAGCAGAGGTCCTCAGAGAGCAGCAGAGCCGCTTTGCTTTCCGTGATGATGTATCACATCAGAAACCATATTTATTATATCAGATATAATAAATGTGCAAGCTTTTCCAGGCCAATTGCCCAGCCCGGCTTTAGAAAAGCACTTCTAGGTGGCGGGACGCTCACATTAGTTCATTGCACTTATCAATAGTGAATACAATTTATTGTTGCATATTAACTTTGCTGAAATTCCTTCATAAGGTTCCAGAGAGTAATTGGTTCAAAAGCTCGCCAAGGGAACGTGAGGCAGCCTCGATGTGACAACACAGTACTGTATCAATGAAATGTAGGAGTGCTGTGCCTTACACAATTTACAGTATCAATTTTTCTGTCCAGTAGTTATGTAGCCAGAGCAGTGCTGCAGTGTTGCTCTGGGTTTTTATTCATCATAACGGTTTGCTTCTGAGATAACAACACAAATGTTTGTAATCCAATTCTTTCTCATAGACACTTAATCTAACAACTGTTTACAGTCTACTTAACATGCCAGCAAATTGTCATCAGCATGTGTTTACATAATCCTGCATTTGTTAACAGTCTGTTGCTACTAGTTTGTTGTTCTTGTTTTATAATTCTCTTGTCATTTTAAGGCACTAACTGATATTGTTGTTTATGATTTCTTGCTGTTACTTCCACTGAGTAGATTATGTTTTTGGTGACCTGTTTGCAGGATATCACAGAAATGCCTTAAAATTTGGTTAAACAAGTGGTTTATTTTTTTAAGGCAGCTATTTATATTTGTGCTCATGACTCCTGAACTGTGAGGCGTAGAAGCAAAATTGTGTTTTCCTGGATTATTTGGTTCAAGATTAATATTTCAGTGTTTCAGCCTATTTCTATATTTGGATGACCACCCAAAAAAAAAGCTTTTAAGTTGTTCTTGTTCTTAATAGGCTGTGTGGACATCATACAGAGGCACTGCACAGCTTTTGCCTCCACACTTAAATTTCTAAATATAAAATACACAAGATGATTAAAAGTTGTTTTTTTTTCTTCGATTAGCTATGTTTAATGAGGGTTTATTTGGTGTCAAATCATTACAGAGTAGTTCTGCAATCTAACTTTAATGTCGTACTGAAAGACTAGAATAAGTCTGACTCTATTATCCAGCCAATTTAAAGTGTGAATAGACTCCTCAGATCATCTGCAAAACCAGAACAGTGGAGATCTCAGTGCCAACCAGACTATCACACTTTATTTCACTGTGTGTAAGTCGACTGGGAAGGGTACCGTGGCCCTGAGAACTCAGTGCACTGCAGCAACAACAACCGGAAATAGACGAAAAAACAAGCAAATTAAACACACCGTTGTTATCAATTTGACAAACAGCATTTAGTAATAAAACACAACTGAATACAGAAACACGCTGCAAGTAGCACGGGCGACAGCAATAACTGTTTCCTCGGGAGACTAAAAAGTGATGAACAACAACAAAAATATATACATTTTAGTTCATTTTCCAACACTTATGGATGGCTGACAACAACAAGTTCATGAGTCTGTGCTACTTGCAGTACATTTCTATATTTGCCCGTTTTTTTCTCCCTTTGCGTCATTTTCGTCAAATTAGTGTCGATGTTTTCTTAATGTGCTTGTGTTGTGTCTATTTATTTTCAGAGTTGCAAGTGTGTCGAGGTGTAAAAGGACGACACACGAACACTTCACAGATAGACAAACGCACCTCTGCCAATTAATTGTGGTGCTGATGAATACCTGTCATTAATGGCCTGGGCAATATGTTTGTCTGTGAGGAAGTAACTCATTGATTGTTTTTTAAAGACTTTCTAAATATGCCTCACGGGGGAAGTCAGCATGCTCCATTTCTCAGCGCAATCAAGGACAGGCGTCCAAGATGGCCCGGGCTGCGTGGATGGAAGTCATCCTCTGTGCGCCTGCCTTCATTTGGAGATGAATAATAAGCTGTGGAGTGTTGTTTGCTAGCAGACACGGGTCACTGATCATTTTGTTTCTGATTGATCAGACTCATTTTCTGTTCTCCTCTCCAGGAACTGCAGATATCTGCCCTCCCAGTAAAATCAACTGTGTTGACAAAGCGCTCGGTAAGAAACAATCCTCCTTCATTTCTTTTCTCATTACAATAGGTTCCCCCCAAAGGGAAATGGAAACACAATCAGTAAATATGATAAGGATTTTTTTTTTTCTGTAATACAAATACCTGGAGGTAGACTTGATATTTTGAAATGACTTTTCCTCATTGTGATTTAGTCACTTTAGAGCTTGATGGCTGTGCTGCCTCCATTGTTGAACTGTTAATATTAAACCGAGGCTCCAGTCCTGCCTATCTGCAGTCCTCAGCTTTGATTCCGACCTCACTCTCCTCCAGCACACACCGTAACTGAACAAAGGTGCCATGGTTTCAAAGGCATTACGGTTGCAGTAAAAAAGACATTTTTTTATGGTCATGGCAGACACATAAGTACAATTATCATTTCTCAGACAAATAAGCCAGAAATGTAATTATGCCCCTCTTTGCTGAATCCAAACCCTATTCACAATATGGTTGAATGAAATCTTAGATATATCTTACAAGAATGGACCATATTCATGTGGGTCATATTCCTGAATCAAATAGTGTGAATAAATTCACCCTCCATGAAAGGTAATAAATTAGAATATCATTTATATATTTATATTGCAAAGGTGTTTTGTTCCCATATGAGACAAAGAATATATGCCAGCGTGCTCCTGCATACACATAACCTTATTGTTAGAGTTATAAAATACATAAATCAAAATTATAATTAGTGCTTTTAGTGCTCCCGCTCTCTCGTTTTTGTCTGGACTGAATGCATTTGGAATTTGAAAAGAGAGATTAGGAAAAGCTATTTACTCTCCTGTGTACATAGTGTTGTTTTAGAGTTAGGATTGTGAATATGTATTTGTTAGTGTGTGAACAGTTCATGACTGCATGTTAATTGGGTGTATGTTTTGCAGACCTTGCCAGTGCTCACGGTATTCATCTTTATTCTCCAAACAAATACTGTAACTCCTAACTGTTTGCTGCACATTTTATCCATTAAATGATTTTCTAAATTCTTATTCTAGATTTAAAGGCGGTTATGAATTTTTTTTATCCTCAAAATCACCCATACAACTGGGAGAAACACTAAATACTAGTCATTTTCTGGGCATGAATGCAACATGATTTAATGATGCTGAGCGCAGAAAATCTGCTCCTTCTCACTAAAAATACACAATTTTAGCCTTCAAACCAACTCTTAAAACAACACAACATTAGCACACATTACTCATTTGTACTTCCAACATGGCCTCCTTATTAAGGTAAACAAGGTATTTTTCATTATCATGAGAATGAAAAGGGAACATAACATGTTCCGTAAGTACTGTTGCTATGGTTACCTATAGTTTAAAATACTATGTGCATAGATGTTGAACTTGGGTGAACATCTGTGCAGGTTGTATAATTGAAGTGTATACTTAATATATTGTTAATTAAGTCACATTTCTGTGGTCATTGTTTAAAGTATATTACATATATATTGTATGTATACAACTTAAAGATCCAGTGTGTGACATTTAGGAGGATCTGTTGGCAGAAATTGAATATAATGTTCATATGTATGTTTTCATTAGTGGATAATCACCTGAATGTAGGAATCTTTGTGTTTTCCTTACCTTAGATTGACCTGTTTTTATCTACAGGCACAGCAGGTCGCTTTCCATAGAGTCTGCCCTGTTTCTATAATAGCCCAGAACAGAAAAACCTAATTGGCTGTAGATAAGGCCTTTCATGTTTTTTTACGTTTTTTGCAGCCCATTCTCATTCCCAGGTCCTCAAATACAGTGTTGGGCTAGTTACTCTTTTAAAATGTGATATAATTACTTTACTTATTACTTTCTACCAACAGTAATTAGTTACACTACTAGTTATATTGGTAATTATGTCCTTTCTCCCCAAAATTCAGACTTGTTTCTATCTTTCAAACTAGTTTCCTCCACGATTACAAAAATGAATCCATGGATGTGATTGGATGATTGGATTTCAAATCAGTAGAGGGTGACAACAAAAGTAATAATTTTTTGGAGGAGTACCTGTAATCTTATTACTGAAATCTATTAGTAATTAGTTACACTACTAGTTACAGGGGAAAGTAACATTACTAGTAATGAGTTACTGCCCAACATTGATCAAATAGCAGCTAAATCCTACACACTGGACCTTTAAAAGCTGCACCAATCAGTACAATAAATGATTATGTGGCTCATAAAGACAAACCCGCAGATCATTAGCACCTGACTGTGTTATAGTTTTGGTTCAGTTTCACTGCTTCCGTCAACCTTGTTTCTGTAGCGAGCAGCTGTTTTCAGTATTGATAAACCTGCAGAGCATCAAACTGACAAAGTGAGCAGCTAGCTTGTGAACATAGTGGAGCCTTTAGCAGCAATAGAGCCCAAAACAGAGCAAAGAGTAGGAAGACTCCAAATAAAACCTAATGCTGTTTTGTATCTGGATGTATAAATAGGCAACCATTTGGTAACAAGTTAGCCATAACAGTTTTATAACGTGCTGATATATAAATGTTGAGTTTACAGCTTGTTCTGCTACCCCCTAGTGGTCAAACAAACAACCTGTTGTTGCAGACACACTCCCTGTCGCTGTACTTCTTCTGCTTTGTTGCAGATGTAGATTGTTTTTGTTATTATATTCTGTGTCTGTATCTTTATCTGCCAACAAATCGGCACTGAAACTGACCCAGTCTATTTCTGTTAAACTGCTGTTTTCATTGTGTTGCAGCACAGCAACAGAAGAACAGTGGGGATGGCTGTCCATGCGAGACACCCTGTAATCTCACCCGCTACGGTAAAGAGCTCTCCATGGTTAAAATCCCCAGCAAAGGCTCTGCTCGCTATCTCTCCAGGAAATACGACAAGTCAGAGGACTACATCAGGTACGACGGAACCTTCAGCAAGACTAAACTCACATATGAGCAGTGATGTGGGGTTCAATAAAAAGGGCCATAAAGTTTGACCTCCAGTCTGTGATCATCAACAGACATCCGTAAATATAAACAAAAATCAATTATATTTGCACACAATCATCCATTTATATTTTGTCTTTATGTGAAATAGAAAGGAGTTGATTGTCAGGCATCATGAGGTCATTACAAGTATATATGCATAATGTTTAAATTAAATATATTTATTATATTGTATCATATAATTCAGAGATGTTGTACTCGTCTTGGAGTTCATCCTGGTCTGTCAGTCTGTCTGAATGTTTGTCAAACACAAAACAAAACATCTGGACTGTAAATCAGATTGCCATGAAATTTTATATTCATTCAAATTGAATGAATATAATCCAGAGGATTATTTTATATGGATTTAATTACCTTGTGACCTTTCTAGCACTACCATTAGGCCAGGATTTCAACACCTGATGTGTGTTTGATGCTAATGGTACCCACAATATAATGATAATGTTTCAGGTGCCTTTTTCCTGCAGCACCACTTTTGCATATAATTTAATATTATATAAAATATTAAATGAGCAGATTGTCGTGAAATTAAATGCATAATGATCTTTAGAGGATAAAACCTTTACATTTTTGCACATCTCAGATGTCAGCAGATCTCAGCTATTAGGCAGATTGCCAGGAAATAAACCTGTCTGACTATAAAGGCCCAGTGGCCTGTAGCGCCACCCTCAGGGAAGAAACACCATTAAAGCTCAGACAATAGCATCATAACACTGAGTGTGAAATAATCTTAATACTTAATTTTAACATATGTGTCCATTTTACTCCCTTAAACAAATAACTGTGATAAGTACACACCATGCAAATCTGATAATATATTAACTACAAAAGAGATGTTTTACAGGTGTTATTTGTTCCCTTTTTATCACGTTCTGCAATTCAACAAACTGCAGGTAGTTCAGTTTATACTTACTAATTTACTTAAGCATAACAGTCGACATAAAACCAAACTAGTAGCGGTCATAAGTCTCAGTCTTCATTCCCAAGAACGAGTCAGAATGTCTTACAGCGGTCCAATCTGAAATTCAAACCTTTCCCCAGAACATTTTCAAAAAGTGCTTTAAAATTCCTCATTTATTCTGAAAATACATCGATAACAGTAGTTTAGAATTTGGTCTCCACTGATGATTGTAGTTATTTTGCCTCCTGAATTTTTGATGTTTTTCCTTTTGGCTTTTTGCCTCTGCCTGCACATCTGTTGTTACTCTGTGGTTTTCCTCTTGTGTTTTATCCTTTCAGAATTCTGCTATTACTTTTTTATTTTATTTTTGTATTATGCAAATAAACCAACAACAAACACGTCTGTGAGATGTGGTTAGGAGCTAGTAAGTGGACCTTGTGTTAAGGCTAATTTGATGAACATTATTATATAATTTATTCCACCCAGCACATTCATTTTGTGAGATTTAATGAACATTGTAACTTCTAGCGACTTTTAACTTTTAATCTACAATATGTTTCATGGAACAAGAGATTAAAAGAATTTAGTGCACTTAACAATGTGCTTATACTGAGCTCCTCTCAGTGCCTCATAGTCAGGGATGTGGTAGAAGGTAAGCATGCCTAAACCAAAGAGCTCATGATGCCTCACAATGCTTAATATTACCAGACTTTCTAAATCCAGAGAGATCAGAGACGTGGCAGTGACTGAGCATGCTGTCAGTGCTCGTTCTGCTCATCTCAGTTAAACCCTGAAACACCTCATTATCTCACAATCGCTGGTTGGATCTGTGTAAAGCACTGCAGGCCCCACAGTCGCATCATGACAATTTACAGTGAGCATAAAGATGACTTGGAATGGTATTTTTTCAAATTATGTTAGATTTGTAGTGAATTATAAAAAGCAGCACAAGTGTTTTTCCCTTTGTTTGACATTCACGCTCCACTTGTTTTTTATTTTTCCAGAGACAACTTCCTGGTCTTAGATATCTTCTTTGAGGCTCTGAACTATGAAACAATTGAGCAAAAGAAAGCCTACGATGTTGCAGGTTTATTAGGTAAGATCACTGTTTTCTCTCTTTTCTGAATATTAGCGGCGCTTTGATTAGCATTAGTAGCAAACAGTAACTGCTTTTGGCACTAAGAACTCTTTCTTTTCAGGTGACATCGGTGGACAGATGGGCTTATTCATTGGAGCCAGCATCCTGACAATCTTAGAAATACTTGATTACGTCTACGAGGTACAGTGTCTATGCAAGCCCACACACACACACAGAAAGAGCTGTGATACAATTAACACTAATTAACAGCTGAAATCAGTGCCTTCATTGTTTATTTCAATTTCACTCAATATTGACAAAGTTTATTATAACGTAATGCCTGTTAGTAATGATCTATCTGGCAGTGTGAATGTTCACTTATTATTATGCATGTGAGGAGTTTTATCTTATTTCCAGGCAGGAGAAACTAACATGCTACTAACGCTGGTCATAAAATGATCTCTCCTTTAAGCTTTCTAGCCTGCCGCCTGCTGACAGCCAAACAATGTATGAATAAGCAAAATCAGAGGGAGGGACTGTAATGTGAATGAACTCCTCACTCTGCTCTGCCCTTGTCTCCCTCGCTCGTCTCTGCTCTTTCACCCTCACCGCTGCTGCCGGGGAAACCAGGTGATCAAGCACCGGCTACAACGTCTGCTGAGGCCGCAGAAAGAAGAGAAGAAGAGCAAGCAGCAGACCAGCACTGTTGCAACAGTGGGTCTCGAGGAAATTAAAGCAAAGGTACAGCACAAACTGTACCGTAATGAATGGCAGCTGCACTGTTTTCATGCCGAGTGTACAACTTTCCCTGCAGCACTGTAACTGCATTAGTACACTACAAGGGAGACACAAATGAATTTTTCCACTTCTAAAATAATGAGGAATGTATTGTTCCTAATTAGTCATAACCACTGTGCAAAGCCCATCTTCCCCTGGAGCTTGGATTTGTTATTGCACAACTTTTATTTGGAAGTTGCTTCTAGCTGAACAATAGCCTTCTTGTCTCACATCTAACCATAACTGTGTCTCAATCCCATACGACATACTGAAACTATAAGAGGGTTTCATTTTTAAACGAGTCAGGCAGAGAAATTGAAAAGACAATTTGGACAATTTGTTTTGTTACCATTCGATATTTGCAGCTTTGATTAGGTTTGGATGGTGTGATTGGCTACAATTTTATTTTCCAGTACAGATGTAGACACCAAATTGGTTTAGAATATGAGCAGAAACTCCCAGTATGTATAGGAAAATCCAATAACGATCCACAGAAAATGCATTCAAGCTAACCGGGAACTCTCCTTATTACCTTAAATAAAATATAAATTATAAAATATATACAGCACTTAAAGTAATTTACACTCAGCTACTGTTTACCTGGCATGCTGCTGGTGTCTCTCTCCCTCAAACCACAGCCAAATATATACAGCTTAGCAGTTTAGCAGACAAGATCAAAGAGTTTAATTTGTAATTTGGCCATTTCACCATTAATTAATTAACAATAATAAGCTACAGCAGAGAAAATGGCATTTCAGCCTGTAAAATGTTGTCACATTTGGACACACTGCATACAGTATCACGTCACCTTGCCAAAATCTTTAAAATGAATTCATGACATTTAAAAGGAATACTTCAACATTAAATTGAACTACACTTCTTCAGTTCCTTGAGGAAGTTGGATGAAAAGATCACTATCAGTCTCATTTTGTACAAAACAAGGAGTAGCTTAGAGGTCCAGTGTGTAACATTTATTGGCACAAACTGTGTTTTCATTAGTCTACGATTACCTGGAAAGAGTCTTCTACAGATGCCAAGGGTTGCTTTGAATGGAGTCCACCATGTTGAACCGCCATTTTTCTACAGTAGCCATGTTTCGAAGGTTTCGTGGCCACCTCAGTTTCTCCTTCACAGTTGGAAGGGGAGAGTGAAGTGACAGAGTTGCAGTCTGCAGCTAGAGCACTAGATGCCACTAAATCCCACACACTGGACCTTTAAACATAAAGACTGGACACAGCGGTAAACAGCTAACTACAGTTAACAGATTTATAGATCTCAAATTAACAAAGTGTATCTTCTTTGTTTAAATCCAAACTTAAACTGTAAAAAAGAGGATCATATGTGGTTTTAGGGGAAGTTACAACTATTTCCTTTAAATTACACTTAGACTGTATATTTTTGTCCCGTGCAATTATATTTATTTTTACCACTTTGCCACTACCTCTTGCTGTAATCTTTGTGGAATTCAATCCATCCTTCAAGACAATATTTGTTTATATATTATTACATCTGTCTATTTTTTTAACAAGTATTTTCTTATCTATTGTGTTGTTAACCACTTCCTAACACCAGCTGACAGACATAAGATACTGATATTTTTTTTACTTTAAATTACAGTTTAAAAGCTCTGTGAGTCAAATAAATAACCACCTAAAGCTCGATCAGTTTATTTTTACAGTAGTGTCACAGGGTTTTGGATTATTCTGGATCATCTACGTATTGTCACAGATGACCTTTATACATGATGTTGAAGTTGACTTGTTTGCTGTGCCTTCAACAGGAGCCCAACGACATGACACGGAGTCACCCAGAGGGGGCGTACGCCAACACGATCCTACCCAACCACCACCATCCTGTCCCACACCCCCACCCTCACCACCATCACGCCGGGCACCACGGCGTGTTTGAGGACTTCGCTTGCTAGAGCCAACCACCGTTTCCAGTCCTGGTGACACCAAAAGATAAAGCTGTCTGTGTTGAGATCAATCAGCAGACGCCTGGCATTTCCGTCGGTCCTTTGCTGTCACCAGTGAAAAGCTACAGCCAAAGTCGAACACCAAACTCGTGCTAACAAAGCACCCGTACGTACAGTATGTAGGCACAAATTGGACACCGCTTTTACTTTCTTGTTCTCTTTGGATGGGACCCCCCTCTCAACTTTTCTCCAGCTTCTCGTGAGAAGTCAGGCACTTTGTGATTTCAGGACCAATTTTTTGGTACATGATCACTATAAGGGAACACGAGGAGGACTGCATGTCACTTTGATTCAGTTTATACTCCAAAGGAAAAATATAATTTATTTATTCAGCTAGCATCTCAGATTTTTTTCTGTCTGTATCCCTTCATTTGTCTCTCCTCAAACTACTCCTCCTACTTCATTGAAAACACACTGTACCATATCAAGCCATTACACCTTATAAATTATGTAATTATTTAAGGAGATACTATTATCTATATGTTCTATATTGTATACAAGATGAGAATACTTCAGTAAGCAAACCTTACTTGTGTTACATCCATCCAAAAATATGGAGGGGGAATTATTTAGGATGAACTGTATGACCTTGGCTTAGAAGATCTAGCAGCATCTTTCCACATAATACACTTTGTCTGGTTTGTGGTTAAGGTGTTAGAGAGTAGCATTGTACTTGTACATAAAGTCCAACTTTAAAATGAGAAAGTTCTAAAGTTCTGTTTCAATGGTTGTTGTTTATATTCAGTTAATATATAACTTATGTAACATTAATTTTGGTTATTTATACATTTGAGAAAAAGACTTTTATATGATGATATCGATCACGATTGTAGCAATTTACTGTACACTCACAATCTGCAGATATGTTAGACTGCCAAACATCAATACATTTGTTCAGATAACATAAATGGACTGTATGGATCATGACTATTATCTCCATCATTTCCTTTTAGATGTCCTGCTTCCTCCAAGATAACACGCAAATCCTTTGCATATGAATGATGTTTTCAGTTATGACATAGTTGTGCTTAAATTATTCTTTCCATTCCTGCCCACCATCCACTCTTCGCTTTGGTTAGCATCATAACTTTAAGCTGACATAAGCAATAAGAAACAGAATTTTTACTTTTTGCCAAGTCATCTCCTTCAGCTTGTGGGCCAGTATCACTGTAAAAGTGTAGCAGCTATTTACAGTGTAGACCTGGCATTAGTGTGTGTGTGTGTGCGTGTGTGTGTGTGCGTGTGTTTGTTTGCATGTGGCATGTGCACTTTAACAATTTACACACATCACTGAGCACATTAGACTGATGCGACTCAGCTGAGCTGATCCATGAAGAGAAAAAAAAGTCTGAAAATCAAAATGGTTAGCAAGAAAGCCAGGCGTTTTATTGCAGTAGTAAGGTTTTTATCTAATAAATGTAGAGTTCAAACTACTTTTACATTCAGGAGTTTAATTTAAAAAAACTGCTCTCGTGGCTGAAATTTTCTTATTGGGTAACTTAATCCTAAATGGGCGGGACAAAGACACAATGATTTGTAAGAGCACAAGTTAGCAATGTGGGGATGGAAAAATAAAAATAAAAACGCTCACATCAATTAATTCACACTCCTGTTTGTCGTGATCATAAAAGGTCGGCTCGCTCACTTGCCCTTGTCCTCTGCAGGAACTTAACAACCTCTAACCTCTGACTTCCCGTAACCTGATCTTTTAAGAACTTGAGAGGCTTTGGTTACGAGGCTCTTCCCTCCATTATCCTTTAGAAATCACGTTTTGGATTTACGCTGTTAAAAAAGGCTAAAGCAATACTGACTGCTGTGTCATATTACTTTACTATGTGTGTTTTTTTTATGGTTGGAGAGTTAAGTAAACATACAACAGTGGAAGAAATAGTGCAGATATAGATTTTCTTTCACATGTTTGCTCGAGGGCACTGCTGGGCCAGACAGGAGCCAGTTGGTGGTAAACCAGCTCTCTGTAACACTTATTTCATCTTTTTAATTTATTACCAGATGTCTTCGTTTGTTTAACGACCACTGTCTCAAGTGTTACTTTTAAAATATGGGTTATTCTGCTGAATATAGTTGCAGTGGTAAAATGGCGATTTCTGTTGTGTTTGTTGTAGTGAATCTGCTCGATCAATCACCATCTGTTAACCGTGGAAGTGCCTGGAATTGGCTTATAATATCACCTCTTGCGCCAGGAGCTCGTCTACAAAGCGAGTAGAAAAGTAGAAGCCAAGACGATGGCTACACGTTAAGTTCCTGCAGTGGAAAACAGCTTTAAGTTATTTAAATTACAACAACAGGTCAGTACTGAACTTCTAGCTGGACAAACTGGCGTGTGTTAGTAGTGTCAGTAGCAAGAGTCACTTCTTAATATAGTTTCTTCCTTTCTTAACTTTTCTTTTCCTTTATCACTGGGCTTCAATCTAATGTTTATGGTATGGGCACACTTGCATCATCTTTGCTAATATTTTGTGTAGCTTAGAGCTTGGAGTGTGCTTTCAGAAATGATGTGAGATTGAGTCTTTTAATTAACTCTGGCCAATGTTTGGACCCGTTGCTTTATTAGAGCGTCATCATTTCTAGTGTTGTCCCATCGTCCATTTATATATTTAAACTAAGCTAAGGTACAAGAAAATGCACATTCTGATTCATATCCAGCTGTAACGCGTGATCGATCGCAAGACAGATGTTTTCATCTTGGCGGAAATGTTGATCATGTTTCCCTCCATAGTAAGCTAGCAGCTTATTTGCTCTCATGCAGCAGTTTGGGCTTGTGAGCCTTAAAACTGAGATGATGTTTTGTTGCTAATTGAGAACAAATTTTGTTGGTCCAACACTGAGCTGCACAAAATCAAACTTCCTGAAGCCCCCACCCCCTTAGATTCTGACAGGCCTTTGACAATCCACTCTGTGACAAATTCATAACATTTGTCAGGGAAATTTATGAAAAACTTCCCATTACAGGATATCATGTTTACAAATGACAGCATAATTTTTCTGTTAATTTGATCAATGCATTCTGTTGCTGTAATATCGCTATATATCACTTTAGCTCACAATGAGATTCCACAGTCCTCCGTCTGTCAAATCCGCTCCTCCTGTCAAGTAATCATGGGCTATACATGGCTGTTTAATATTCATAATCATGTGTCACTTTGACATTTTCAAAAGGTTCCCAATCACAGTCTCTGATGGCATCCTGTACAGGCTATGCATAACAATCTTCTCCTCTGTCATCAATAATTGTAGCTATCCTCAGACAAGTCACACAGGGGCTGGTGGGGTGAGATGAATACAGGGCTGCATTATCACTGTAGACTTCTTTCTCCTTTTTTTTTACCCTCCAGATGTGTTTTAGCTGAACTGTAAAAACAACATGAGTAATTCCATATCCAAAAGCATTTAACAAGTGGAATACGCAGAGTGGATTTTTACAACAGCTTGCCGTCTGTGCGAGGTGCCACAGGGCTGAGAGGTGGGCAGCAGGTCTGTACTGTAGCAGATGGGCCAACTTCCCTGCTTGACAACATGTAGCTCACATTCCTTGGATTCCTCAAGCCTCTACTCTGAGCTCCATTCTTGCACAGCTCTTTGGGCCTACCTTTTTATAGCTCCGTGACATTCAGCCTGTATGTGCTTATTACATTATCCATAAAAAATCAATTCAATCCGACTAGCCACCGATGTTCTGAATATGTGCTGTTGTGTCTTTTTCAGCTGCTTATTTTTAGCTGAGGTCTGAGAGATCATCTGAGAAGAGAAATATATGAACGCAGGGTGTTAAAAAGCAGCTGTCAGGAATTCTTAAGTATAAAGTTCATCCCACATGAAATGGACCATCACTGCAGTAACAAGGAACGCTTACATTTTGTACAGAAGTGTGATCTTGTGATTATTTCCTCTGTTAGAACACATTTTATAAATGTTAAATATGGTAAATACGATAACTATTAAAGTTTAGATTGGTAAAACCAGTGCCTCCTAAATCCAGAGCCCAATTCACTTTGTAACTCCTTGTTGTCTGTTTTTTTCTTAAAGTCAAAATGCATTTCGAGCCTCCCACCTGTTTTAAAGCCTCACAAGACTGAAGGTATCTCAAAAGGTAGGTTTTGGAAAAATATGGTACACCTCAGAGGGGCTTTAAAGAAGTATAATTATCTAATTAGGATAAGAGATATGATCTCTCGACCATTTCTTTGTTTTTCTGACTAGCAAACTGTCATTCTGCCTTTTACAATACCCTCCAGGTGAACCCGAATTGTCGTAAAAACTAAAAAATTCTAGTACGAATTTCTAGAGGACTTGAAACAACTGTGTCCCTGTGTGGGAGGAGAAAGTCCTGGGATCAAATGTAAAGCGAAGTACAAAATAATGACTTACAATTAACTCCCAGCTGCTCTGTAGTTATGTGGTTTTACAGCATGCCTCAGGGTAGCGCATACAGACCCTTGAAATAACTAAAGCTGTAATTAAGGTTGTAACGTTTTCCCTGTTTTTACCCAACCCCAGACATGGGGAATACCTCAGGTCCGACATGCAGGAATGCTAACTGCAATCCTACCGAGCACACACTGGGAAGATGAGATAGCAGTTTGTATTAGAAATGTGATTTCTAAACGTCCAACAACGCTGCTCACCTCAGCAACTGGCAGCAAGTACTGGTCTAGGACCTGTGCTGCAGACGGTAAACACGCTCTTCTGCTGACACCTAAAGGACAAACTGGATTTTGTAGCTGGAATAGAAAAATGACTGATTATTTCATCCTGTCAAAAAATACAGACAACAAAAATGTTTGTATTCAAATATTCTTTATTTAAAAATTATAATAATTCACAGTTCATTGGAAATTACAGCACACATTTGAATGTGATGAGCATTTATTAAAATATATTGCTTTGGTTATACTAGTACCCATATACAGAAAACAATGTAAACCGATAGGTCCAAATATCAATGGAAATTGTAAAATGAGCCTATGTAATTTGCCTGCTTTTTGAAATGGATTACTTGATTGAAAGTGAAATACACATTTAAATTGTCAAATGACATGATTTTCCAAGACCATAATACAAAGATACAATATATGTTACATTTTATCACCAAAAAAAATAAAATATCAATTGCTGTGTAAATAAAGCTAAAAAAAAGGCTTAAAAATAGAGTCTATAAAATATTTATACATGTACAACGAATGTCATGAAAGCCTCTGTTAGTGCGGAAGTATTCAGAATCTGCATAATTCATAGAGAAATTACAGATAAATAAGTTATGGACAAAATACTTAGAGACTTCGCTCAGCGATGGTGGCTGTGTTAACAACACGGGGTGATTAATCTGCCACGCTCGCTTGATTTTAAGCTTTTCACGTCTACAGAAGGCAAAGACGACGCAGATCACCGCAATAACTTCATCTTGTAATCTCAGCCCTCCGTCTTTCACAGTGTTTTTTTTTGGAAGATTCAGTTTCCAATTCTGCACATTATTAGTATCATACTCTTCAAAGAATCGAGGAGAACATTCATATTACGTCAGCTGGAGCACCGTCACCGTGAAAAAACTGCTCTCGTCAAAAGAAAGAGATGCGTTATAAAAATTTATGCAAAAAAAAAAAAAAATTCCATCAAGAACTGGAGCCCCGATGGGTCTGTATTCACATGGCAGAAAATACAGCAAACACTGTTGAGGACCACCACCGTGGATGTAGTGTTTCCAACGTATACTTTGAATCCAATTAAAGTTATAAAAAAAGGACTTTCCTTAATTTTATGTATTTCAAAGTAATTTTGTTATGATGAAAAGTGTCTAGTGTCAGCAAAATACATTAAAGGTCTTCTCAAAACAGATTACAGTGTATTTACCTAACATTGAACAGAAAGCACGACAAGTCTTACTCTTTATAATGTCATGAACAGTATTGTGATATAGACACTGCTGTACTTGCAGCAAACGTCTTACAAATTAAAAGTCCTGTCCTTCATCGGACATCTATATAGTTGTGTTATCTGTAATATTGCACATTATAATACACTATTAACTTTTCTGGTGTCCAGTACCGCTACCTCCACCACCACTCCAAGGCCTCCCATTGGACTGCACTGCAACTGGGAGAAAGCAAATCATTTCTAAGACTGAGCTCAGGAAATGGAGGACAAAAACACACCGTTCAATAACTTACATAATCTGTAACAATACAGTCCACTTTGGAACAGTTAAACATCTTCTTTTAGTATAAAAACTGTCCTGGAAACCTATTTCATACATTCTTAATTTCAATCATTTCTAAACTAATTAATTCTGTTTTTAAAGTACCACTTACTTCGATGTGCAATCACTTCAGACATTCACCAAGGTGATTTTTTCCCCCATTACTCATACTTTTCTTGCAGCATCAAAAGGTTTCATGGAGAAAAGTTTCACGGTAATACACTACTCTTCATCTATGACCTCTGAAGACCATTGGAAGAAACTCCTTCCCTCCTTTGAGGCACATATACAACCTGTGGGTGGTTGGGATCATTATTTCCACGTTACCTTTTGAAATAAAATTTAAAAAACCCACTCAACTCTCCCAGCCATGTAACAGACTTTATCCACAGTGAAGGATATCTCCCACTCATTCAAAAAAAAGTTATTCATGTTGTAACAACAACAAAAACATCAGCTGTGCATCGCCCGAAGGGGTGAACTGCAACACACAAAGATCATTTCAAAACCGTTGTCTTATGTAAAGTCAGTGTCAAGGCACATATACAAAGATGTGCTTTTGTAAATACTCAAATCAGTAAATATCAAAAGTTCAATGTCTCAATGCCCTTGTTTGAAGGGGCACACAACCCGCGGTGCAATATATTAATTAGAGCTACACATTAAAGTTCCATTTACCAATATCTTTGATAATAACATCAAACGACATTCTATCAATGTGAAAGCATTGCTGCTCGTATTTCTGATCTCACCGTGAGGCAACAAAGCAGCTTTTTGCCTCTTTCAGCTCAAAACAAAAAGCAGCCGTACCCAGCACTTTGTCTCAAATTAGTGTACCGTATGCTACATCAACAACACAAAATGGTTTAAAGGAAAATATTTCTTCCAAGAGTTAATGAACAAAACAGGGTAAAATCCCGGTGAATACTGGAATCACACCGGCCACCTGGAGAGTAACTCCAATGGGTTACCTACAGTATGTAGCCCTGTGTCTACTGGATGTGTGGCAAACACCTTAAACACAACAACTAGGCAGCACCACGTCTCATGGTTCTGTTATTGTGAGTTTTGATTGTTAGAGTAGCAAAAACATTTGGTTCTAGCAACTCATCTGTATGGACAAGTATTGTAAACATTTAAGAAAAGGTTTCATTAGGAATGTACTGCATTCGTTTTTCCAAACTAGCTCAACCAAAAACCCTTGACGGACAAGATGGAGAATGTCCGACAGGGTCTCGTATCTAACCACAGCCCCGGGAATGTTCAGGGCAAAGGTAAGGGTTAACTTATGGGTGGTACTACGTGTGTTGCTCCTGTTCACCAAATTGTAGAGGCTATTACAACAAACAAACAGCTTTAACAACCATGTAAGCACACGCAGGAGCAGATGTTCACTGGTGTTATCAAGTGCTGTTTCCTTGTTCTTGCTCAAACAGCAGCATGGCGAGCTGGGAGCGAGAACCGAGACCTTCCAAGTTACCCTGAACACATCTGTGATAGATGTCTTCACTAAGCCGCGGGTTGCAGGCCTGGTAGATGTACTGCTGGTGCAAGGCTGGCTCCACGGCCCTGAATACGTGCAGACCCGAGTACTTCACGAACATGTCGAAGATGTCCAGGGTCTCTAGAATCTCCTCATTCTCCTGGACGTCTGCCACCATTCGAGTGCGCGTTGCCATGTAGTCGGAGTTGTAAAAACACGCTTCTTCGAATGACCGGCGGTCAAAATGGCCTGCGTCCTTGATGAGATCAACCGTGACCGGCTGCTGCTGGTTGTGATAGGCCACATCGGGCTTGTAGTCCTGGAAATGGATGGGGAAGAACACCTGCCAGTTGTTTATGGAATTCATGCGGCAGCGGTTCAGAAACTCTGAATTAATGTCTGTGTTGGCTTTAGCCAAGAAGAACAAGGTGTCGACTGGGTGCTTCTTCGAGATGATGTCCATAAATTTGATCTGGGACGGTGTTTCTGTCTTGACACTTATCCATGGGATTTTTACTGTAGGGTATTTGCGTTCATAAGCATTTATCTGAGTCTTCACACTGGCAAATATATCGTTCTGATTAACCTGCTGTGCCTCCACTGGGTCATAAATGAACAAGAATGTTAGGATGGCGTTTTCACTGGTCTCAAAAGCGTTTGAGGCAAAGACTTCCAGGAAATGGTCGATGTAGCTCCGGTCCTGCAGAGTAAGAGGTATAATGATGTGCACCCTCGTAGCTTCAGTGACATAGGGCATGGGAATTATCTCAATCCGACTCAAAGGTCGCACCAGATGAACCCGCTTGGTTATGGAACGGCTATGACCTTTCTGGTTAACAACCTCCAACTGAAGGTCCAAGGTGTACTCCATGCCCCTTATGGGGTCAAAGCGTCTGTAGCCGTTAATCAGCTGCTGCTTCTTCAGGTGTAAGACGGGCTTGTACTTCTTGTTCAGCTCTCCCATGGCTACGTCTATTACATCAGCCACATCCATGCGATCAATACCGCTCAGTTCACATTTCGGAGAGCCATCGATGCATGAATATATCTCCTCCTCTGTAAAGTATTCCCACTTCAGAACTTCAAACCGAGATTTCGGCTCAAAAGGTGGATTGATCCCCACGGGCCATTGGGCGCTTCGGTTTCCCTCAAAAGCAACCACGCTCACATTCTTTATTTCTGCCTGTGGAAACACAAGACACATTCTGACCTAGACAGTTGCGGAGCCACCATTTACAGAACTAATACTGCACTAAAATTGTGCTGTTTTGAACCTACAATGGAGGTTATTTTTGACTGAACCATGGGTGATTTGTTACACTTGGAAATCAGCTTACCTGCAGCTTAGCAATCTCATCGTAAGTCTTCTGGAGTTCAATCTCAGTGAAGTATCTGTGCAGGCGGTACATCTGTTCGGGGTCAGACACTGGATGGACAGTAAGAGCTTTCTTGAACTGTTCATTCTGCTCTTTACTGGGATCAGAGTTTTTTCCCAGCTCATAATGGTGGTACTGAAGGCCCTGAGAAGAAACAGAGAGGTCTTTTCATGAGGCATTTTAAATCCGGCATGACAGAAACATGGCGGGATGCATGTTTCTCCAAGCTTAGTTGTTATGCTGCGTTACTTCCATTCAAACAAATGTGACACGCTATCCAGGCAACATCTTGGGCTCATCGCCACTGCAAACAGGCTGGTTTCAACCATAATTGCAGAGTGAAAACTGAGATTCATTTTACAGGAATAGAATACTCTTGCTATACAACTACACTTTTAGTCATTTCCAGGAACTAAATTTGTTCTGGGAATATGAGGCTTAAGAGATGGTTTATCTTAATTAATGTCTCCACTTTTTGCATTATTAAACTATCACTGTCAGGTTAAAGAGGCAACAGTTAAGAATTTAGAGGTGAAACCTATAGTGCAGACGGCTGACACCGGCGCCTGAATCCCACTTAAAGACAAGTCTTTTAAGATGAAAACAGAGTAACCACCTAAGGAGCTTGAGTGATTAAAAAAGTGAATCTAATCTGATAAAGCTACAGAAAAAAAAACAGAGAACGGAGACACTGCTTAACTGAGCGGTGAAGCCACTCAGCCAACAGCTCTCAGCCTGTAGTGGTACGCTTACTGAAGCACTGTCCATGCCTAATTGTCATCAATGTTCTCTCTTAACACATAAATTGATGTCTGGGTCTGCGTTCAAGCTGTTTTCTTCACCCACACTAGGCCTTTTAACTTTCCCCCCTGATTCTCTCCGCTTATCTTAAGGGAGGGGGGGGGGCTATGCTGGAGCTCTTCTGGCTCAAGGCACTTTAGTTAGCCATGCAACTCACTCTCAACTGTGTAACAAGATGGTCTCCTGCACTGGGTCATGGCCAAGGAAGAGAAAATGGAAGCAGAAGACAGTGGAGCGAATCAACAATAAACTACTGGCCCACACTGTATATAGGTTGTCAGTGTAAATGTGTCCCTACTCTTTTAAAGACACATTTACACTGACAACCTTCTGACAATGTATTTTAACGTGTTGACAGAGACCACAAACTTTAGCGTGGATGAAGTAAAGTGTGCTGAATGCAGAGAGGGCAGATCAGTGCTCCACAGGGCTTGTTTGACCTTAAATGCTAATGACATTACAGGAGCAGTGCATGTTGACCCACAGGGGATTTTCACACCATTGAACCTAAGCAAGGCTGAACTCAGCTGTGCTCTGCTCGCCTGTTTACCTATTCCACGTTGTTGCTGGAGTCGTGGAGAAAAAAAAAGAACAAAAAAGAAAAAGGGAAGGCTAAAGGGTATTAGCAATCTACTCTGTAATATAAATACCACCTCTGTGCTAGAATGGTAATTACAGTTTTATATAGCCGTCTGTCAGTTTTAAGTGTTGTCCCAGAGGCAAAGCATGATTTCTGCCGTGACAGAACCCCTGCTGTAACCTGTCTCACGACTGTTCTCATTCATTTTAACTATAAACTGCCTCATTCGTTTCCCTTTCAAACCTCAAACATTGAAGCCAAGACGCAGTTTTACGGATTAAAAAAAAATGACTGACTGAAAAGAGATGTACTGAATATCTACATCGTGATTACGTGCGCCTTGAAGAATACACTCAACCTTACCTCATACTCACTGACACAGTTTGTGTTTGTGTAATCGATGATGCATCTTCCGAGCCACTCGTCAGGCCGTGCGCTCAGGATGTCGTTCCTGCAGTTTTCCAGGAAGGGCTGGAGCCGGAGGAGCAAGGTACGCGAGAGGAGGTACCCGAACCCTCCGTAGCAGTACTTCCCCTCCATCTCTCCGCCTATGAACTCCTCGGGGCTGCCCATGTAAAGCTCTCGATCCATACTCAGGTGATCCACCAGGGATTTGATCCTGTCGGCTTCTGTGTAGGCGTCATCTTGGACGAAGTAAAACCAGTCGTACTCGTTGATGTAATGGTCAAAAATGTATTTGATGTTCTGGAACATGTTCCAGATCAGCCTCTCGTCTCCGTGAGAGACGACGAACATGCCGTGCGGGACTTTGCGGTTGCGCATGCCGGTGAAGAAGATCACGGTGTCCAGGTGATGGCTAATGGTGCGATTGACGGCCACACCCAGGGTGTTTATGGTGTTTTTGGACGTCAGGACGCCGACCAACAGACGCTCTCGCATCCCCAACTCTGTGCTTATGTATTTAGCCCTGAAAGAGACATGAAACAGCTACTGAATAAATGCTGCTTTTGTATGAGAATACAACAGTCACAGCTTTATTTTTACCATTTTGTTCTGTAACTTTCGTGTTGAGTTTATTAATGGACCCTGAAATGTATGGGAATACTAAATACAGTAGATTAAATCTGTGCTTCTGTTCCCTAAATAAGCTCTGGGTGTTTGTGTGCAGACACGCAGACTAACAAGGGAAAAAAAAAACATAACTTCTTTGGAAAACTAAACATGCAAGAACTTGAATTGTGATTAATCACTGCAACCGCAGCCCAACCCAACTTTTATTTCCTTGTTATTCTCTAAGTGACATAAATTAAACCTTTTTATTAGAACTGCAATGGATTAATCATTTAGGGAACACAGCGAATAAACTTTTTCAGGAGAAAATGTCAAACTTCTGCTGGTTGCAGCATCTTAAATATGAGAGTTTGATACTTTATTTAAGCATATAAGATAGTAAATACATTTGAACACATCAGTTTGGGTTCTTTTCACTTCTTCTTGATACTTGAATAAACTAAACAATAGAGCTGCAACGGATGATTGTAAGTCTGTTGATGATTTTCTCAGTTGTTTGGTCCATAAAATGTCAGATAATTGTAAAATGTTGTTTCCCAGAACCGAAGATGACGTCCTCAAATGTCTTTGCATTGTCTAAAACCCAAAGATATTTAATTTATTATCATAAAAGACAAAAGAAAACATAAAATATTCACATTTGAGAATCTGAAATCTGAGACTTTTGACATTATTTACTATCGAAATAGTCAAATAATTTAATAGCTGACTACTAAATGATTTATTAATTAATCTCGAAAACAGCTGATAATGAAAATGACAATCAGCTGCGCCCTAAAAGATGAAACATGGATGCCAAACACGTTTACAACTCTGAACTCAGCAGAACTTTCCCACAAGGGAAAAGTCTCTTTCTGAGAATTGCAATCCAATACCACCACTTTGGGTACAAAACAAGGTCTCTATCCAGGAAATCTTGGAAATGTCTGCCTGTTTACTAAGAAAAAAATCTGGGGCAGAAATCCTGAAAAGAGAAATATGAGAAGAAAATATGGAGTTCATTTTTATCTCTAAGACAGGAGAATGTCAGCAGGTAGAAAACTAACAGAGGAAGACTTTTATATACGACTAAAATGACTTTAGAATTACATTTTCACTGAATAAAACCCCAATAAAACATATTTTCTTACATCTGGAGAACAAACTTTAAAGGCAACAGCATCTCTGCAGCATTAAAGCACTTCATTAAAATCCAGTTTACCTTCATTAAAACGAACACTTTGCATATTGCACTTGGTTTTTATAACATTTAGATGAATTACGCAGCCCTTACGTGTCATTAAGCTGTGTTTTTGTCAGTGTAAAACCTCACAGCCTACATTACAACACCTGCACACCTCGCATTATGTGCACTAACAATGTATTTACAGTGGATGAGCCACACTGCGGCCTACTTTACTGTAATGTGCTTTAAAAACTAGGTTAAAATCCATATATTGTGCACAACGTGTTCACCAGGTAATGTTGGCAACCATGCAAAGCCCTACCTGAAAACTTTCTTCGGGGCACTCTGCTGGACTTGTTTATATGGGACTATTCTTGGTTCAAAATCCTCTTCGGACTCCACATCGTTGATAGTGGAAATGGAGTTGGGCTTTCGGGCTCCTTTGAGCTGCCCATCCAGCCCCAGAGTCACCTCCTCACCCTCCTTCCCGTCTGGGTAACACGCTTGTTCCGTCCAGTTTACACTCAGTAAACTCAACGTGAACCCTAAAGAAATACCGATTACCACCGGGCCGACGGACCGCAGGACAGAAATAAACGCTGAAAATCTCATCTTGTTGCGTCGGCTCGTCCGTCTTCAGCTCCTCAGCGTCAAGAAAATGAGTTTAAAAATAAATAAAAAAAATAGGCCCTCAGGTCCGGGGAGAGCTCAACTACACATCAAGTCTGACCCGGAGCAGCTGTATCGACAGTCAACTTCAGGGAAAAGATATATCTTCTTCCGTACAATTTACGCAGGATCCTTACGTGTCAGTACAGCCGCGACCTGGCTCCTCCCTCCGCGGCCAGACGCTAGCGTCAGAAGGCGGGTCTAGTTCCAGACAAGTGCGGGTGAACTCAGGCTGCGCGGCGCGGAGGGATATTGAACCGGAGCCGTTGGCTGAAGGCGGTTGGAAAGGTGAACTGGAACACGACCAACGGCTGTTTACGCCAGGTGAAGACCTCCGTTCATATATAATATTATATTATTAATATTATATATGTTATAAATTTAAAAGCAAAAAATAAAGTAAAAAATAAAAAATAAAGTAAAAAGATTATATATATATCGTTTTTAATCTTTTTACTTTATTTTTTACTTTTAAATTTATAACTCAGCATAGTCATACTAATTTTTTATACTATAGTCACTTTATTTTGCTTGCACTACCTGTATATTATATTATATATATAACATTATATGTAGTCTTAGACCTGTTCATAGCCTTGTGAAATCATTTCTGTATAATATATAATAAATTATTATTTCTTTCTACAATATGCCACTACCTCCCTCTGTAACCTGTGCAATATTATTATTCAACTTTAAATCCCATTTGTGTAATCATACTGTAACGTTATATAGTTTTTTCTTGATATCTTGTATTTATTTCTATTTTATTTTGTTATTTAATGTGTATTTTTTTTCTCTATCCACACTGCTGCTGTAAGATTGGAATTTCC